TTGTGACCTTAAGACACTACACATGAGTTTTAGTTAGCCAGCTATAAACAAAATAAAATGAAGTTTAAAAGCAAAAGAAAATACTAGACTTTTTCAGAACATTTAGCTCAAATTTTTAAGTTAAACAGCAGAAGTACTACTTTTTATAAAAGCACATTTGTGTTCTGGTATTTGCAGCAATTTAACACAAACCTTAAATACTGTTAAATAAATCAAACCGCTAAACCACAACAGCAAAGAAACCGTCCTGGAAAAGTATCTCCTTGGACCCTGCATATTATACTTGACTTTTGTTTGTTCTCTACGATAGTTGGTTACTCAAGCACACACAAACATTGCAGTCTTTTCACAGTACTTGAAATTTGGTCTACGTCATAAACAAAAGTTGCACTGAAGCCTTTTAACAGACTTCCAAGTGATGAAATCACAGTAAGGAAAAACACAAATATGTTCTTATCTTTCAATTTGAACTTGAGGATAAACCTTCTCCATGGACAGTCTTACACACAACTGTTTGGCCCCTGGCAATGTGTCTAGACAATGTCTGTTATTTGTTTCAGTTCTGAAAGATATGCACTAAATACAACGGTCATCACAAAAAAAGCTCTTCAGAAAAAACAGGTTTAAAGATTTTTTTTTAAGGTACAACAAGCAGGTACTAAGAATAGGAAATGAATACTTTAAAAATTACAGTTCATTCATACTGTGCAATCATACTACAGTCATACAATCCAGTACAATTTGTAAATTCCTGAGCTGAAGATATTTAATGAATTATCATTATAACAACACGTGTCCCTGCAGCTGACCAAAACTACAAAGAATGAAACAAAATTTGGATGAGGTATTTTAGATGCTAAGTCTACCACCTTCATTATTACTGTGGCATACACGGTACCTGTAAAGAGGCACAAATGTGATCCAGAGACTGACTCTGCAAACCATTATGCACAGTGAACACTTCCATTTATAAAATATTGCAGTGAAAATTAAATGTTGCAACCACCAGAAAAGAATTTAAGTGAAAATGAATGTGCTGATCCAACTGCAAAAAAGGGAAAGGAGAAGCGCAACAGTAAATAGATGCAAGGATTTTCCTGAGCCAAAGCCACATTCTAGTCAAGTAAGGGAACCTTAATGAAAGACTTATCAGTAACGAACCTTGCAGTAGTTTGAGCCACCAGCTTGATTCTACAGTAGTTTCAATACTTAAAATTTTCACTTATGTCAATTGGATTTGCATAAGAAAACAAAGTAAAAGCAGATACAAAAGTCCACATCCAATTCAAAACATTTGTATTAAAGTATAACTTTGTAAAGGAAAAAATAACGAAAGGGTGTCTTTTCCTAAATGTGCTTTTTCAGTGTAAACTAACATTTCTTTTTGAACAGTTCTTTAGCTTGGAAAAACGAATGATACTTTTTCTTTTAAATCTGAAGGAATATGGCAAGAAATCTTATGCAAAAAAAGATCTGCTGCAGCCATTACAAGGGGTATTATATTTCCAAATAAATAACAACTGAAGAACTTTCACTAGAATTTCAGAATTCAAAGGAAGAGACAGTGTACTCTGCACTGCTCTTTTAATCATTCTTGATATTCTTTATATACTCAGCTATTTTCCTTGAAATGCACGCACACTTGAACTGAATTTTAAATTTAGTGAATACCTTTAAAATAACCTGGTAAGTCTACCTTTCCAGTCCATAACAACCCAACTTATGCTACGCCTTCAAATTTTTATTCTTTATAGGGAAAGGAGAACACTCTCACCACCATCAGTACAAAACTGACAGAGAAAGATCTTATGATTCCAGAGCGTACGCTCAACAACTCCAAAGATTTTGTAACATTATCGTCCTCACAACTTACAACCTCATATCCAAATATTGGCTTACTATACAAAACTTTACAGTCATACTTGTGGTGTGATTACCTACTGACATCAATAGAAATTTCAGAAGAGCATTACAAATCATTGGGGTACCAGGAGTGATTGATGAGGCAAAATAATGGTCTTCAAATATTTCACCAGATTTTAATACAAGTAGTGTTAATTAAACATCAAAAAAACACAGGTTTGAGCTTTGCAAATCATTACAGAGAAGCTACTGCACACTATAAGGCCAGCTACAGACTAGAACATAATTCAAACACATTAAATTCTGCAGTTAAACATTAAGCTGTTAACGCATCAACAGCCTTCAATTACCAACTGCTCTTCCACCTTTCAGGGTAATATATCAACAATTATTTTCACTGCATCAATAGATGCTCCATCATGTACCATAATCCAGCAGGTAGCACTGAAGCCAACATAACTGGCACACGTGACGGAAAGTAAACTATTTTATTGAAACAAATCAAAGATCTATTTATGTCAAAAGTCTCATGCAAAAAAAAGACAAGAGATAAGAGAGACAGGGACAGCTTAAAAAAAATTCTCATTTTTTTAAATAGCTTTATGAATTTGGAGTAGTGACAGCATAATGATTTCAACTACAACAGAGTAGTTCAAACTCTACCTGCCTTTATTTTGTTGTCATATGAGATGACATTCATACAGGTGGGTGACAATGTCAGAACACAAGGAGCTAAAGGCAGCGGGGTTAAAAGATCCATGCCTCCTACAGAGCATTCTCTGTCATAATCCATGCTGGAGCCTGAGTCAAACCATTCTTCTGCTGTCAACAAACACCACTGGAATAAAACAATATTCCTTCTCCTGTGGCTATAATCCAGACTACATATCACCTTCCTACCACAGACAGTTAACCTGTCAGTGTGTATAGTAGAAGTCTGCATAAGAAAGCTAAGGATTTCATGGGCACATTGCCCATCAAGAAGGATCTGCTGTTGTAAAAATCCAGGCTACTACATATAAAAATATGCTAATTTTAAAGCCCCAAAGCTAAGACATTAAGATTTCAGAAATGTCAGAATAAAGGTAGACTGCAAAACTTTGATTCTGCTGACTTCTGTGCGTGCCTCTTCACATCACACAGTCCATGCAAAATAAACACATGTTTTCCTTCAGACTCATGAATCATTCGGTACTCAGGGTGAGCAACACTCCAGGAAGCAGCTGTGGAGCACTGATGATCTACCCATGGTATACCAACCTTCTTTAGAGAAGGTGGAAGACGCTTAGTTAACATGATAGGGAATTACAGTAAGGACGAGTATGCTCTCACGCATTAAAACGGCACTCTTTAGAAACAAACGTAGAATCCTTTTCTATCACAGGGTTCCTACACGATGACGGTTACTTCCTTAAGTCATACATCACCTTCCAACCTCCAAATCATGCAGTTTCTGCAGAGGCTGACCAGAGGTATAAGATAACCCTGTAACTGAAGCTATTGAACATACTGGGTATGCACTTGTCCTGAAATTCTTGACCGATTTAAAATTGCTCCTGGAAAACACAGCACGTGGAGTTCTGGCAGGAGCAGACAGCACAGTTCATGTTAGATGTTCTCAGTCTCCTTTCTTCCACAGAGTCTTTCAGAAGCAAATCACAGCTGTCCTGCAGACCAGGTGAACTGTTGCTCCATCCTGCTTCTCAATGCCATCCTTCCTGAAAAGGCCTTGGCCAACCCTCTTACATCTGACTGGAAACATTCCCACCAAGAAAGAAAAGAAGGTCCTAATGATAGACAGCAGCTGGGAGAAGGGCTGCTACCATGAACACAGGAGCAAACTGAAAATATCTGGATGCTTTGGAGAAAGTTAGGAGCAGCTCATTATTCAAATAGCAAACAGTCTACAGAAGGTAAAGAGATCATAGGATACCGATCTCAGACTACAACCAAAAATTTCAGTCAGATTATAGTTCTGCCTGTTTTTATTTTCATGGTTCTTAGCTCGAGACATCTTGCTTGGAGAATGACTGAAGATTCACACTCGCAACTGCGATCTAACAATAGTTGAAGACAGTTCTAACGATAAGATGAAGAGGAGGCAAAGGGATCTACACTGACATATTCACCTCACCACATTAGTTGCTAAACATTAAGTAGCTGTTCTTCGTTCCAAATACTTCAAAGTAAACAGCTGAGTAAGGAGGCAGACATGCAGTTTAAAGGAAACATGGGTGTTAGTAACATCAGCTGACTCAAACCTTGTCTGCAGTAGAAGTTCTGGCACTTCATTCTCACAGTAATGATAGACAGAGAGAACCCAGATCTCTCACTGCGTTCTCTGAAGATAGTAACATTGACCTCATGATGGACTTCCACAGTAACTCCTTGAAAGAGTGACTGTCCTCCTGCTGTGAAAACCACTCATTTCAAATTATTTGATGTTGGTAGTTTGTCACACGTTTGGTTTTTGTTGGGCGTAGGGGCATGGGGTTTCCTCTTAGCAAAGAAAGAAACACTTTTTTCCAACTCACATCAGTTCTCTATAGTCCTACTTTCTAAATTATCCGATTGAATTAGTGTTTATTGTAAACAGTGAGGCAAAGTAATCATCAAAACCTTCAGTTTGTGTCATCAGTATTTGCTTTCACTCCCTGTTAAGAAATGCTATATTTAGTTCGCTTTTCTGCTTCTACTAGCAAGACAACTGGTGCAACTGGACTGTTTGTTAAAAAACCCAACACTTACACCGCATGAAATGCCATAGACTTTTTTTATATGAGTTTATCTGGAAATATTTAAATTTATCCCCCAAGATAATACCTTGGATACAGTAAAGAGTTTGCTACTTGTCCAAAACCCCAGAACATGTGCATTGCACGCCACCTTCCACAACAACCTAAACGGTGCAACTTCCTTTAGAGTGATAGGTGTGTACCTACTACATGGTAAAATGGCAGGCAAAACAACAGTATGTCTAACATCATCTTTCCAAAACGTAATCCAGTTGAGTTTAGAAATGGTGGACTTTCAAACTCTCAGAGAGGAGGAGGACAGGAAAGTCAAAATAGTCAGTAAGAGCATTTCAATAATTCATACTCTCTCACAAATACTGTCAACTTAGACATTCATTTTACCTTGAGAAGGTATGTAGGAATATTGCTGAAATCCACAGGCAACTTCAAGAGGAAGCGAGCCGAAAATTCTCCAGTCTGTGGAAAAAAGGTAATAGCAGTAAGACCTGGTGTCTGAAACAGAACAATAATTGAATGTTCTGAGGATGATATATTAACCAGAAAAACGTGTAATAGCTCATACCAAACAGAAGGGTAGAGATTTAAAACAATATTTCTCAATGGAACTACTGAAGGGGAAAAAAAAAAAAGTAATTTACAGATTTCACAGATGTTGTATGAGAGATCACCTTAAAAACCATAAAACACCACTGCCAGTAAGTCACCAGCAAAAAGTAGCGAGAATACAACAATGTGCATGAGAAAAATTAGAGTATACTTTGTTAGCCCTAAATATAGATGTATCTTGGCTGTATGCATTTCCGGACAAATGTCTGGCAAGACCTGTAAATTGTCTGAAAGCAAAGCTAAAAACCTGAGACTTTTCTAAGAGCATATAGATAAAATAGAGGCAACTTCACAAACATTGCAGGTATACATAAGAGAATTTGCATTGAGTAAGGTGAGAATGTATCAAAAGCATCCTCCAAATAAATATAGAGGAAAGAACAGAAGTAGAGGATTTTGTACCATTTGTTTTCAGAATTATGTGACTCTTAACACCTAGACAACCATTTACTGAAAGTTTGCCAAGCATCCCCTACACATTGCTCTTTTTTATGCATAAAGTGTACGCAAAGGAAATGGAAAGGATTTCCTTTCTGTTTCATACACTTCCTTAAAACCAGACTTTGTCCACCTGGTTATGAAGCAATGAAGTCGGCTCTTTTTGAAAAACAAATGCCTGCCTGATTTCCTCCATATAAGATTTTTGTTATCTCTATTTTTTAATTCAATGAAGTACCCATAGAGCAGCTGTATTTGCCACGATGAATTAGCAGTACAAAAAGCGCTAAACATTAATGTTATGCAGTGAAGTACAAAAAGTTAGGCTGTCTTGAGACAAGGCGGCAAAACTTTTTTCCGTTTTAACACTGCCCTATTTTTGCATACACACGCTAATTAAGTTACATGACAACATACAATTTTTTAAAACCAGTATTTCATTTTAACAGGCCAGGGGACACATCAAAGCTGTATGAACACGCAGCATTCATTCTCCCACAGTAACACATAAGTACTACCTCACTGTTTCCTGAATAGTTATCTGTACCTAATATTCATTTTAATATTTTAAATGTTTTGCATAGCTAGACAAAGCGAGAAGAACAATACTATAAACAAGAAGCGTACAATATACAAATTTTAACAAAGTGCACATGCATCTATGGTGAATGTGCATATTGCAATTCTCATTAAAAGGGTGAATGTAAATACTATACTAGACTTAAACAGAATCATCTTTCTTCTGCATACAGCCATACCTTGTGGTTAGCAAAAGTCTGTAACACACCTGAAGTAATGGAAGCATCCTTTCTACAAAATGCTGCAGTGACTCATGGAAAAGATGTAGAAAACTATGACAGCAAACAGGTTGCCTGGGACCATGTCCAGATGGCACCTGAGTATCTCTTAAGGATTGAGATCCCACAATCTCTCTGTGCAACCAGGGCCAGTGCTTAGACTCCTCAATACTCAAGGGCTTATAACCCACATAGATGTCAGAAGGATACCTTCTGGGCCGCTGCTTTACTACATGTAGTAGATTTTATCACAAGAAGTCCACAAAGCTATGAGGACAGCTTGCCAAAGGCTACAACTCTTCAAGAGGAAAGCGTTCAAAGTCACCTGCATTGATACCAAAAATTTGCCCTATGCCTTTGCAGAATAGTCAGTACTTTTGCCTCCCCTCTCGATTAGCTGTGCTAATCCATATATTGCTCAGTGTAACAGGGAACATGAAGGTTGTCACCGGACATATACCACCAGATCACAACCCTCCGTAATGAGGGACCACATCAAGTGCTATGCAAATCAATTCAGACAGGAATTGGCCGAATAAAATACTAAAGGAAATGAGCTTGCGGATGCACAAGCCCCACTGAGAAAGTACTGGAGGTCAAAGTCAATGGAAACTGGCTTTCCAAAACAAATGGCAGGCTGCTAAGCAGGGCAGCTGATGAATACAAGTGATTGTTTGCTAAGCACATTATTTTCTGTGGCACTGACGTGAAATAAAACTGAGAAGGAAAAAAATCCTACAGATTTCCTTCAATTATTTTATGCCTAAATCAAGCAAAGATTTCACCCCAAGCAACTAAGCACATATAGACAAAGATGCTGTATTAGGCAGATGTACAACAAGCAATGCTAGTATCAGTGCCAGTTTGTTTCTTGGTCTATGTATCTGGCATGAACTGCAGATAATTCATTCCACCTTCCAGTCACTAAACAAGGAAAAATAAGATCTTGAATGCAACCAAATTTTTTCCAATGGTACCTTGCCAGTTATATCATTTGCCAAAAGGGTTTGTGTGATGTTAGGTTGTAATCCACCCTACTGCCAGCTAGCTCAGAATTGCCTTTATATTTGCCCTGGTAGTGACACAAAAGAGGCAAAGCGCATAGAAACACCATGCAACGAAATGAGAGCATATGTGAAATTACAGCCAGACTCTGAAACTTTTCGTAATGACACTACTTGTGAGGATAGATGCCGACTTTCTGATGCTGCATTACTTCTGTATGCAGAAAAATCACCGACTTCTTGTGCATGTATAACACGAAGACTGCTCTGATGACAGCCAGGGCACTCGCTTTTCGTTCAGAGTGAAATGGATGTTAGAGACAGTGCTTCTTGTCTGGACTTAACTTCCAAAAAATGCCACACAACATTTGCCACTATATTGACAAAATTATTTCTGGTAAAACACCAAGTCTGATGAACTGGGCTGGCCAGTCAGCCAAAAACATCATCTGCTCCAAGATGTGGAAGTAAATAAGGACTTGCAGTCTAGATGTTTTATGTCATTCAATCAAGATTATTTTGCAAAGTATTACTTCCAAAAGTGTCCCGGACAGGCAGGGAGCAGCCCCTGTCCGTGGTGCTCGCCTACTAAACCCCAACCAGCTGGTCACAGGCAACAGGTGGAGTCACGATGAACATCTGGCCATAGCACTGTGAGATTAGACAGTTAATGGGCTTCTCCATCAGCTGGTACTTCGCCAACATGAAGCTACTAAGCTAGATAATGGTTCGTCTGTCTGTCATAGATCTTGGAGATCACTTCAGAAAATTGTAGATACTGGAACAATGGTATAAAAGCAAATTTCTGTTCCGTTTTGTGACACAGCACGGAATTCAGGCTTCCTCTCTGAAGTTTTTAAACTCATGCACTTAAGATGATTGCTTTCATAACTCTGTGCAAGGTTAATTCATAGATTATTATTTCAGAAGTCTGCTGAGCTACTATTGATTCCTGAGAGACAGCAACACGAATTTCAATGACTTCTACGCAGAGAAGATAACGTGCAGCTTACCTCTTGCTTTTCAGATAAACACTCCTATTGTGCTGATCATCAAGACAGCTGTCAGGGACAGGAGGGAGAACTACCCAGGTTAGTTTCATATTGAGTATTAAGACACTCATAAACAGGCCTGTGTCCTGTAGATATCAGGTTCACAGAATCTTCAAACAAGATTCTCAGTCTTCTTGATAGAGAAGGCAAACTTTGAAAACAAAGCACGCACTACAGTAACCTCAAATAACTCTGCAATGATTAAAAGGATTTGCCTCAAAACGTATTTAAGATCTATTTTAATGGAAAATTTTAACTAAGACAGCATTTCAAATGCAATAATAGTTTCCTTAATCAGTCATCAAAGACTAAGGAAAGATTCAAAATGCTTGAGTAGATATGGCTTTCCTAAAAAAAAAAAAAAAACCCAAACCAAAAAAAAGGAAAAAACCACTAGTTTTCTATGACCCCAAGGAGAATTTTCACACCTGGTAAAAATTATGATAAAAATCTCAGTAGGGTTCAGAAAGCCTTCTGCATTTCAATATATCAATACAGATGATATCTACAGATGTGGCAAGTTGTTTATGATGCAAGGTATAGAGAATAGAATTTTAGAAAACATTAATTTCCATTAAATATTCTAATCTAGAAATATGAAAAGAGATCTGAAATTCTCTGATAAAGAAAATTTTACTTGGCTAAAAGAAAAGCCTAGATGACTTGTTTAAGAAAAACAGATGGATATAAGCACTGTGAGTTGTAAATACCCTTGCATCACTTGTAACTTAAGGACGATTAAAGTGTCATACAGCAGAATTCTAGACCCTGACAACAGAAATGCTCAATTTTCATCGATTTTCAGACCACATCTATTTCAGAAGATACTGCTTCTGAAGACCAGTGTATCTTAAGAGTATTCTATTGCTGAAAGCAAGAGGGGAACACATTCAGCATAAATACAACTAGGTATTCCCTGATAGATCTTACTCCAAATTTCCCATGATAAATATATTACCAGCAGAAAAAAAACTTTGATTCTTGCAAAGCTCACTCTGTGTCAGAGATCGGCTAAAAAAAATTCAAAGTGAAACCGCACACTAACCAAAATATCTACATTGCCAATAGCCTCATCTTAGAAGGCTGAGATGGTATATGGAGTGTTTCTATGGAGCATGGCACATTTCCCAGGCAAAGGACACAACTTTGGGAAACAGACAAGCCAGTTCAATGTCTGACTGTCGTATGAAGACACGGCCCTACAAAGTCACTGCTCTAACCCATCTCACCTCCTCCTGTCCTTCTGCAGAAAATTAGTTGGGTTTTTTTTTTCTCTCTCCAGTCCAGGGTCCTGAAACAACTCATCTCAGCTTACAAAAGTGCCAGAGAGATACAGGCAGCTGCACCTACCAGTTACATCAACTCAATTGTAATGTGGAACCACATCCTAATACATCCTACCCCTAAGCAGGCTGATTTGCCTGGGCAGGGTGTCATCCTAACACTTGTTATTCTGCCTCTCACATCTTCAGAACTAATTCAAACTTCCACATAACATTGCATTGTGGCTTGTAAATACTGTACAGGCTTTTAAAAAGTTTTCAAAGTTTTTACCTATAAATCAGATGAACTAACATCAGGTTGAAAAACAGTTACTCACCTGGAAAGCTGGCTCAACCAACGAAGTGGAATGACAGCAAAGTACCAAACAGGGAGTTACAGAAAGTGAGATGGAGTCAAATAGAAGTTTTCTCCATTTGAAACATAAAGCATGGAGATCCACAGAAACAACCAAAGTTTTCCAAGGCAAGAGCCGTATTTATTAAAATGAAAGAATCAGTAAAAGCATTTTAGCAGAAATATTCTTAATAGCTTACCCAGTTGTTTTTTTTGCCAGCATAGATTTCCATGTTTTCTCCATACTGGGGCTCTTCAAGTAAAGTCTGATATTCAAACATGAGACGAGAGCTCTCACGTAATCGGCTGCACTGAAATTGGTGATACTGCTGCACAAGCTCTTTCACAACAAGCAGGAGGCATTCAGGGTTTGAAGGATTCCAGGAAGCTAAATTCTGTTGAATTAGAAAAGAATAGAGACCGAAATGGTTTACAGCAATAGAAAGACAAGCACTTCCCCTTCCATACTGATACCAGAGGCACATATGCATGTGGAAGCTTTGCGACAAAGCTAAACCATAGCATTAAATGCAAAGGCGCTCTCATGCTTTGGAAGAAAACCAGGTCAAACAGCAAAAGCAACCCTTAATATCAAATAAGAATTTGTACAGGAACCTATCAGAAAACTGATAATAGGGCTACTACCAGGCATAGGTAGGCCCAAATTACCATTCTATTCTTCCCTAAAATTATGCTGTTGCACCTGGGAACTTGAAAAGTGTGAATTAAAAAAACTAAAACTGATAGGAAACATACAGGGATCAGGTAAGTACAACCTTACACACTATCTGACTCAAAACGCAATCAGCCAAATAATTATGTCAAATTAACAACAACTATGGATACTACTCTGCTGCACTGTTCAAATATTGGTTATAGCATTGACAGTGACGGAGCAAATGGGTTCTCTTCCGTTGCCTCAACCTTGTGCTTTACTTCACCTTGACTCTCGCTTCACTAGAGTTACCTTGACTCATCACCCCCTTAACACAAATGCCATCCATACACAAGTCTCTTCAACGTGCTTGGCAGAAAGTTTTATTATAAGTTGACTGTACATCAAGAAACACAGTTAACAGAAATTAAAATGTTAATACAATGAAAATAACTCTGTCAGGAGCACAGTAGCAATCTTATCTCTCAGTTTAACTGCTCTAACATTGGTTCAGACCAGTCTTCTATGCACAGTAAGATTTATTGAGGAAGGCTTTCTGTGTACAAACCATAGCTAACATGATCAATGTTGCATGCCTACATCTGGTTGTCCTACAACAGATCTATATTAAAGGGCAGATGAGGACACACCTTGTACTTCATGCTGATAGGACACAAGACAGTTCTGATGCAAAAGTACTTAGATGCTTTGTACTTAGTTCCTCAAGAGGTCTTCCTGATACAAGCTCAGGTCATGTTAACAGTCATACAGCTTTTGGTCAGCTTTGAGTATAAGCAAAATTAATCTGTATTTCCGTATATCACATAGACAGACGACAACAAACCAGCTGCAACAGGACTTTAAACTGCATGGATTGTACCATTAATAACGTTAAGATCCTCAGAACTGGCAAAGATGTCTGCATTTTATAACTAAGTGAAGATACAATATAGTAGCTTCAAATAAAACTACTCATCAGTATCTGAACCCAAAGTAGCTACAGATGGCATGGTTACTCTTGTCCTGGAAGTTTCAGACATTTCATTTATAACAAACGCAAATAACAAATTATATGCATAATTTACATTTTTCAGCAAGGACAAAAAAACATGAGCCCTTTTTTACCTCTTCAATGGAAAAAATGCTTTAGTATGCAACATTTTCTACAATGAAAGGGCAGAAAACATTTCTGTACTTTGAAGTAGCTGTCTTAAAGATGGCCTTGTATTCAAACACAGAAAAATTTACATTTCTTAACCCAGGTTAAGTAAATGAAGCTGGATAGAACACACATCCCCTAAAACATACAAGCTATTCATATTTTGTGTAACATCAAAACTAATAGATACAAGTGAACAGGTTGCACAGAGAGGTTGCCAAGTCTCCAGCCTCAGAGTTACTCAAAACCCAACTGGACAAGGTCCTGGACAGCTTGCTCTAGCCCAGGCAGGGGGGGCTGGACTAGCTGATCATCTCTAAAGGTTCTTTCTAACCTCAGATATTTTTTTGGTTCTATGAAGAGGTTTACAAAAAGCTCAAACTGAAAATGAGGGTCTTATCAAGGTGAGACTCCATAGCTCTGACTTGAAAAGAAATTAATGAGTTGTGTACAAATTTTCTCTTCTGATACTCTGGAAAGGCAGATAGAAAGCTTAATCAGTTATTCACCAGGCACCATACCTTCAGCTCTACAATGAAATCTACTTGTAGCCTAATCTCTAACTACATGGCTATTTCCATCAAAAAGCCTTATAATTTTTATTATCTCTGATCACTGTAGTTCGTGATATATCCCTTTGGAACGGTGTTATACAGACTTCAGTATATGCGTACGAGCGCTTAATAATTCAAGCATTTCTCTTTCCACAACTTTCTATTTGTTTCCATCTGAAGCCATATATATTAAGATGTTATCAAAATGAATTCCTCATTTTCTGCATCACCACTTAAAACATACAAGCCTAATCTGTCAGTGAAAGCGACATGAAATATGTATTTCCTTGAAAATCTTGCTTTTTTTGGAGGGAAAAAAAAAAAGCACTAATGTTTACTAAGGCAATTTTATCTCAAATCTTACCACATGTTGTTTTTCCTCAAGTGCCCAGTCCTGGAGGGGATCAATTTTAAGAGAATCTCAGCTACACTCTACTCCATCCCCTCCATCCCTTCTCATTTAATCTAACAGCTACCAGAGAGGCAAAGAAATCTGCATATGCACTACCTACATACAGAAAGAGATGAAAATAAAAGAAATGCAACTTAGAAACACAATCCTTTTCTATCTCACAAGCATGGTTTTTAGACCACTGTCATGACTTTCAGCAACATGATTCATGATTTTTGAATTACTATGGCTGGCAGCGCTGCATTAACTCTCTATGCATCACTCATTCTCGTGATTAGGATGAAAACCACACATTCCTGTCACACGAAAATGGTTGGGAGAAACAAGAGCTTTGGAAGGTGGTGCTCTCATTGTTCAGAAAAACAGACATTCTTCTTGCTTTGATAAAAAAAGAAAAACTTATCATCTGAGAGTGTGGATGGATCACTCAGGGGAACACTTACCTCTAGAGTACAGATTTGAAAAAGATCTGATGTTTACATAACTTACGGATTTACCCAAGACTGACAGGCTCAGCTTAAGAAACACAACAGGACATAACTGCTGATCACGATTTGCTTTGTTTTACATGGATGAATGAACAGCTCAGCGAACAGTTACAAGATTAAACTGTACTCCTCCTGCTCACTATGATTCTGGCAGAAAGGGCTGCTCAGTGTGGCTCAGATGCTATCCTTGAACCTCTGCCTTTAGAAGTTACTACAGTGTCACAGACTTCACATTTGACCACAGCTTGAGTTACTCTGGGTTTTTTTTTTCCTCCTAGTAAAAACACCTATGAAATGGGAATATTACCTTTTAAGATATGGCAATGATAAACTACATTGCAGCATAACTGGTGAACGGGTAAGATACTAACACGGTTCATCAAAGTTCCTCAAATACATACTACAGTGACTGAAAGCCTTGTTCTACCTTGCCTGCCATCTACAGCTGGTAAACATTTATTCTCAACTTGAACCCTTTTAAGCTTATCCGATTCTACAAAATACTAGAGAAAAATCTGTCAGGTAGATGGTGTCTTCTAGGAAACACATTTTGTACCATGCAGTCTGAAACCAGACTGTGTATAACCCTAAACTTCCTGTTCCCAAGCTGCTGCTCAACTAAAGCATTTCCAGAAAGCCAGAGGATGTAATATGCCAGTATGTATTGGTATCAGCCAGACAAGTGGGAATAACCTTTCCTCCTAATGACATTGGTATAACACAATAGAAATGTTCTGTCAAAGGAAATGACCAACAGTATTTTAATAACCGGCCTAAATGCAACAGAACTTTTTGTTTTTTTAAATATCGTTACACTGCAGAACAAAAAAAGAGCAAGAGGAAATCCATTGTCATTTGTCCAGCATGGCGCTAAAGTATTGCTTTCTTCAAAGAATTCAAGAACACTGCATCAAAATAGTCTTTATGCTGTATTGCCTTAAAGCTACAGGAATTAAAATTCATGATTTGACTGTAGGATCCTTAGTAAATACCTTTCATTCAGTAACTAAAGATTCAAACAAAGTGTGAACTGGTTATAAAAACAAATCACCTGGAGAAAAATTCAACTACCCACCCAGTACATACATCAATTACAACAGATCCTCACTGATGAAAGAGCAAACATACAATGGCTACACGATTTTTCTGTAATACAAGTTCCGATTTAGATAAACACTAATTTTCAACTTTAGAATGATATTATTGTAGTGCTCGTTATTTGGCATTTGGCCATTACATTTCTAGCCATTTTGTTAACTTTGCAGAAGTGCTGCTCTTTTCAGAAGACCTAAATTTATAAATTTTAACACAAACACTTCTGAGTACAATGACATATTTATGTATGAAATTTCTTTTTACACATCTTTAAGTGTTGCTTATTTGCCCTAAGCACTAGGTTCATTCATCTGAAAATACTTTTAAACCATTTTATTGTGATCCAATTTCAACAGTATGACAAAATATGTGCTACATTGTCCTATCAGTTTCAAATGGTACCTTCTTTTAATCTTCCATTTTTGAAATCAAAGACAAAGTAAGCAACTACCCGCAACATACATTGTTGAAACCTAATTAAAGCAGAATTTGATGTTTATCAAGTTGATCTCTTGTAGAATGTCTTAATCACTACAATTTCAGCATTATAATGATTTTTCTGAGAACATGCAAGGATTTGTCATTTTAGTCAATGAGAGTAGTGACCCTGCAATGGTAAACTGACCTCCTTCTTTAGAGATAAAGGATCTTCTAAGTACAATTTTATTTAGCAATGCAGTATTGTATTCACTATTAGACTTTGGAAAATGTTTTAATCACCAAAATCTTAAACTAAAGGCTTTGGAGCAAAAAGAAGGAGTATTAGCCTTTGCACTTAACTTTCTGATTGTTTGCCTGAAGGCTGCATTCCAACCCTAGCCAATACATCTTTTTAAGAAATAGTATTTAAAAATACTTAAAACATTAGAAGAACGGAGTGAGCGTCCAGTGTTTCTGTGTTCCATGGCTCCAAGTTTTGCCACAAAACTCAGATCTTGCATAAGAATTATGCTCTGAATGCAACTTCAAAATTCTGAGTTTTAGTTGTTATGACTTCAGAAAAACCCTGGAAATACGAAAACACACATAACC